CTAGTCAACAAAGAAAACAGGTTTTGTTTCTTTTCTAGTTTATGTGTTTTGCAGAACTGTTATAATTAATATGAGAGATGTGAATACTTACTTCATTTTAACAGCTGATATTATTTTCTTGAAAGTCAAAGTCTATTTTGTCTCTGTAGGATGGTTTTGAACATCTTACATGAATTGTTGTTCATGTCAAAAACTGCTCACTGGTATCACTAACATTTACAGTTCCATAGTAAAAATATTTGTGCCACTCTCTATATTACATGTAACTTTATAGGTAAATCAGACTTCCAGAAAATTCTTCAGCATCTCCTGAGTAAAAATCATGCCATGAGCATGAAAGAGGCAAATGTTTGTTTTCTGGTGTAGAGACCTTTGTAGAATAGAAGACCTCAACTCTCACTATCCCAAGAGGTGAGGGCCTCCTGCATCCTAGCAGATTTAAATAATAGTCAAAATGTGAATATTTAATGCACTCATCCTACTCAAAATGAAAGGACACAAGTAATCAAAAAGAAGTAGTGCTGCTTCTGGAATGAGCAGTCTTTCAAAAGAGAAGAGATTACCCCTGCAGAAGGGAAGGCGAAGTCACTATTTAGTGATAAAGAGGTATTCTGCCTTAATTTGGAAGGACCTGCCTAATGAGCCATGCTTAGTTCCCATGGACAAATTTATTACTCTCACTTAGCATGGATATCATTATTAATTAGGCAAGCAGGAGTCATACTGTCCTGTCAGCAGAGATGCTGGATTATCCTGAAGCTGGGTGTGAGCCAATGTCTTTCGTCACAGTCCATTCTTCAGCAGGACTGCATTCCCTCTAGTGAGAATTAGCATACTGCTAAAAGTTTTGTGTGTGCTTCTCTTCAGAGAATTTTATTAATTCACAACGAGAACATCAGGGGCAAAAGGTACAACTAATCATTATCAGTATGAAAAAGTTCTTAAAAATTCAACATGAAATTGGCTCATGTCCATCATTGACTAGTAAATGAATATAATAACACAGGGTCATAGCAGATTCTTAAACGGGTAGAATGACATTTATATTTTAGTTGAAGTAGTGCTTTGGTAAAAGTTAATTAATTAAGATTTCTGCTTCATCCAGACCTGGTTTTGAGACTCCTGAGAAGTTTGGTTTTTTTTTTTTTTAATTTGCAGACTTTTGGACAATTCCCGACTGGATTTGTTTAAAAAAAAAAAAAAAAAAAGAGCTTTAAATTCCTGTCTTGTCTTTATAAGGATGTTTGGATAGCTATCTTTTAGCTTTGCCTAGTTTGCTTTAGCTTAGTTTTGTCCAGTTATCTATTGCACAAATTATTACATTCTATAAACCTTAAATACAGATTTTTAGTGCCTGAGAAGAAATGCAAAACTAAAGAAAGATCTTGCCAAAAAAGCAGAAAAAATGTCAGAAGCAGTACTAAGGGGAACGTTGCCCAGAACTTTTTTACATGTAGGATGGGATACTACTAATTAGGAAGGGAATACTTCATATATATGTTAGCAATTTTAGTAAAACTAAAATACATTATTTAAATGTATTTGACTTGCACTTCTCTTATCATGGACCTAATCATAGATGATGTTATCAAAATCACAAGTGTATACATTACAGCTAATCACAAATTGAAATTATTAATTGGTTAAATTATTATTTCTGGGGAAATGTTGTATTTTGTTTTCATTCTGAAGAGGAACTTCATATAATGGAAATTCCAATAATAAATGAGTCCATTATGTGCGTTGTTTGCCACAGTATAATGTAGTAGATGAAATATTCTAAATTTTTTATATGCAAAACACTGTGGGGAAATACTACCTTACTACTGATTAGATCTTTCCTAAATCAAAGCATGCTCTCATTTTCATACGTAAGTAGCAAAAACTTGGATAATTATTGTAGATCCCATTTAGCTTTTTTCCCATCATCTGGGCTTGATGTAATGCTTAGTAGAATCTAGTACAATTCTTACTAGCAGTGTTGATAATAAAATACATAAGTTTTTATTTAATCACTTCAAAGCCTCCAGAGATTTTTGCATTTTTCAAGTGCTTTTTAACAGAGATCAATCTCAATGAAACTTCTAACATTTTGTTTTTCACAGTCTATGCAATAACTCTTCACTTTTTCCTAGACAGCATATTCTTCTCAATAGGAGACAAAAAAAGCTCATACTACTGGAAGAGTCTAAGGGTATAATTTAAAAGCATCAAATTTTAGCTGTGCCCAGCTAAATAGAGATATGCATTCTGGAACTGAGCCATGCACTAAGCTCTGTCCCATTTGAAAACAGGGGTTATTACTTCAGTTATTTTAAAGCAAATGATTCATGTGATCCCACATAATCATGTTTCAGAAAAGCTTTAAGAGTCTCCATTACTAACAGTTACTTATTATATACTAACTGTACACATGAACAGGTAAAAATGAGTCCAAAATATTTTTAGTTTCTTCTGTGGTTGTAGCTATGAAGGATTAAAACCTTCCCCAGGAGATGCATGTAGCTTACACATGAGTCTTGCCACACTCCATGCTGAATAGGTCCTTTGGGTTGTGGGCCAACAGGCCCGTTCAATCAGCTTTAGCTCTGGAGGCACAGGCAGTTCAAGATCCCATGTAAGATTCGTCAGACAAGAAGTGCTACTTCTAAAAGAAGTAGCTTTTCTGCCCTGGAGGAGTGAGGGTTTTCCAGTGCTTTTGCTCATGCAGAATTGAGATTGTTCAGCCTGGAAGAGAGAAGGCTTCAGGGTGAACTCACGGTGGCCTTTCAGTATCTAAGGGGATCCTATAAGAAAGATGAAGAGAGACTCTTTTCAAGAGCATGTAGTGACAAAACAAGGCAGAATGGCTTCAAACTGACAGAGAGTAGGTTTAGATTAGATGTTAGGAAGAAATTCTTTATTGTGGGAGTAGTGAAGCCACTGGAACAAGTTGCCCAGAGAAGTTATGGATGTCCTATCCCTGGAAGTGTTCAAGACTAGACTGGATGAGCTCTGAGCAATCTGCTCAAGTGGAAGGTTTCACTGCCCATGGCCTTAAGGGGTTGGAGCTGGATGATCTTTAAGGTTCCTTCAAGCCCAAGCCACCCTGTGATGCTGTGTTTTGTTGCTACACATTTCCACAAGGTTAAACATTTGTCACAGTGCTGCTGCTCTGTGTGCTTTGAGGCTGTGTGTGCAATGGAGCATAGATGTCATTAGCAACAACCTGGATATTATAACCTCTATTATGAATGCTGGTCAGGACATACTGTGAACAGAATTGACACTTTAGTTTTAGTAGAAGGGCCTGAATGAAAAGGAAGAAAAAGAAGGGAGAAAAGAGATACTAAAAAAAGACAAAAGATTTTTCTGATAGGACATAGACTATTATTTAGCTACACCTAACTGGTTCAACTATACTTCCTTGTGAATATTTGGAAGAAAAATCTGGAACAAGTTTTTTTTTTTTTTTTTTTTTTTTTGGAAATGGTGTCTTTTAAGATCAAACATGTTCATGCTGATTTTTTCATACATGACTAAGCCTTGTACAGCTACTAAGCTTAGCACTTGATGGAAGTAAGGAAGGAGATTTTTCCACAGTGACTGGTCATTTTAAAATCATAGCAACTTGTTTTTTCATGGTGATTGAAAAGAGAGGATATGATGCCTCCATAGGCAATTCTTCCAGAAATTGTAAATCCTGCTTCAACCAGAAGCATTCATGAATGCATGATGTACTGGCTTCCTTGAGCAGGTCAGTCACATTTCTACTGAATGAATGGAAAGGGGGGGGGAAAGTAGTGCTTGCCCTTGCTACTTGTATAACTGAGAGTGATAGTTTCAGACAGGTTCCTGTTTTATATATTTTGTTCTCAATCAGCTTTAGGTTGCGGGTTCTCTGCCCCAGGGAGAGCTGACTTGAACAATGTAAGCTGCTCTTCCAGCTTGTATCAGCTGGTTGTGCTCCCCTTGGTCTATTAAAGTTGTGTATAACCGGAAGGCGATACTGTCCCATGAGTCTCCTTTGCTGAACTTAACTCTGCCCTTTGCTGTTAGGTAACTTTGTGAAAATTGCATGCAGGCTACTTATACCCAAATCTCCAGATGTATTGGCAAAGACAGCTGGTGATCTTGTGACTTGTGGCAACTTCTTTGATGTAGCAGGGACTAAATTAATTAAAGCTGTTTCTGCAAACCTATTTTTCACAAGAACAAATTATGTGCCAGAGTTTTAGCATGAAGCACCCTTTTTATTATATAAATAAAGTCTAAAAAATAATTGAAAACATTTTAATTAATGGATTTCTTAATTAACTTGCTTATTATTTGGTTTAATACCAATTACAAATACTAGCAATCATTAATTCTTAAATATGTATAACCTGATGTCTATTATACGATGTTATGTTGAAAGTAAAGCCAAAAGTAGTTTTCTCATCCAGGACCAAGGCCAGCAACCTAACCATAGGCAGCCACTATAGTCTCTGCCTGCAGTATCCATTTAAAGACTAATTGTATGTTGGATTTTGTAAACCTGCAGAAATATGAACTTGTTTTCTCAAGCCTCTATAAAGAAAATAGAACATATGGACTTTTCATACTTCTTAAAATAAATATATTCCTTTGACCAACCTTCCAGAATAGGGTGTATAAGTGAAACAGGTCAGAGAAGCTGATATTTGTGTTCCTCATGTGATTAGAAAGTGGAAAACTTTCATTGAATGTAGCTAATCTAAAGTGTATAGCTGATAACATTTTTGAGAAGTGATTTGTTAAAATATTTAAAGTTACTGCCTGAGATATGCTGTTCTGTACAATTCTGAATATAGGCATCCTTTTTAAAATTCATTGAAGTGTCAATGTTTAGACCAAACCCCTGATTCTCAGTTCCTCAGCGACTGTGGTTATTCCTGTCATTTAAAATGCCATTTAAAAATGCTGGGTTTGACACATAAATGTTTGCAATTAAAAATATTAATTGATGTATGCCAGATTATATAACTTCAGGTTTTCATCAGGACAGTGATCTACTGGACCGTCGGAAACATTGCTTCAGTGTCCAGTCTGAATCTGGAGAAGATCTTTACTTTTCTGTGGAACTAGAGTCTGACCTAACACTATGGGAAAAAGCCTTCCAAACTGCAACTTTTTTAGAAGTTGAACGGATACAGGTGAGCACAACTGCCTTGTTGATCATGTTTTGGTACATTAGCAAATTAGGCCCATATGAAATAATGATGTAATTTAAGAAATTTTATGACCTTCTGCAGCTCTCAAGTTGTTACTCTTTTATGTAACTAATTGCTTTTACTGTTCCCAAACAGCTTGCAAGCTAGCCTTCAGAAGAGGTCACCTGAAATACAATCTTTGAGTTATTATGACAACGTGATACATATTTGTTAACTGAAGTTCACGGACAGAGAAGAAAAAACAATCTATGGTTCAGGGACAAAATACAAGTGTTTAGATATTCTTACTTGCTTACATGCTACCTTATTTGTTACTGAAAAACCTTGCAGGAATTAATAGTCCTTGTAATACCAGGAATGAGAGTATACTGAGGAAAGTACTCACTGGATACAAGCAAGAACAAAAGTTGTACCTCAGATGCATTATTCTTTCTTCACGTATTTCCTGTTCCTTGTGTATTTACTCTGTTATCAGGTGACAGCGCAGAGATGGACAGCATTCAAATACAGATTATTAGTGACTTTTTATTGCAAAATTCCATATCAGAGTGTTTAAAGATGACTTCTCACATGAACAAAAAGTCATGACTTTTTGACATAAAAAAGGAGAAAAAAGCCACCCACCACAATTTTAATTCACCTAATCCCAATTGTAATATTGATTTTCTAATAATGGAATATACATGTGGTTAGAACAGCTTTAGTTGATGTTGGCAGGAGTTACACACACCTACCCAAGCCATATTAGTGTATTATGCTGTGCAAGTATTGGCTCATTTTCTGTGTCCTCCTGGGAATGCAATGTTTTTATTCAGACAAACTGTTAGTTAGTTATATATTAGCCCTTTTCTGACCTGCAAACCACCACATGCAGATGCACTGAATTGGTATATACTAATGAAGATCCAATATGCAAAAACTACACTGGTGTCAGTTTTAACTCACGGTACTTATGTTGCAAGAGGAGTCAGGGGAGGTTTGGCTTTCCTCTTTTAAATTCATATATGCTGTTACCTTTTATAGAAACTATTCTTGTCTTTTAAGCTGTACTTGCATACTGGAAAATCTAAGACTAGGTTTTCTATGTAAAACTTGCAATAATGTATGTCCTCTGCCACTAACTATTTGAGAGTTGCTGTCTTTCTTATATAATTCACTGCAACCTACTTTATAGTAGCACTGCTCTGCCATCAGTAAAAGAATATACAGCATTTTTCTTGAATAACATTTATCTTAGAAGCCACCTCATGTTTGTTCTACTTTCAGATTGATTCATACTATAGCATTCCTGGTTTAGATTTTTCTTTTGAATTTTAGAATTGCATTTATTCAAAATTGCCTTCAGGCTTCTCCAAAATAGTTTCCTTTATAATCTTAATCTCAGATTCGTCTTAATCTTCTCACCTTTTTTTGTCTCTCCTGATGTTCAATGTAGCAATTAAGAACTCAAATTAATTATTTCCTCATTGATTGGTTGATTGTTTAATTATAGATCTGTGAAAGTGGACAAACAGACTTCTTATAATAGAACATTATTGTGGAACTCACACTCATTATTTCACCTTTTCTTTTTCTTTATTTTCTGTATCTTGATTTGGAAAAGAAAAAGATAGAATATTTTAAATATAACTGGGTTTGGTCTCATTTTTCTTTTAGCAATTCATTACTGCTTTCATCTACCAACCTGCAGATGTAGAAAAAATCTGGTGGCATACTTTGTTTCTTACAAGTTCTTTCATTGCTCTGTGAGAAAAAAAAAAAAAAAAAAGTGACAGGTTGAAAATTAAGGTATCAATGGTACATTTTTACTAAAATTTTGCTTTATGCAATTGTGTTGATATGAATATTCATATTTAAAGTGAATTCTTATCCAGTAGGTTTGTCTTACAATACAATAACATAACTTTGAAAATATAACTTCAGTTTTAAACTACCATTTAAAAATATTCAACTGTGTTGTGTGCTACTCCATAATCATGCAATGAATAACTGTTACTCCATGGCTATAACCTCCAGAAGAGGTTAATCAGGGGCCAATTCTAATCCAACTCCAAAGAATCTATAACAAATTCAAATATTTTTTAAATGCATTACTATAAATATGTAATGAATTCTGTTTCAACCTAATTCATAGCTTCTGCCAGAGGTATATCTAAACCAAAACTTGAACAGTTGGTTTTTCTTAGAAAATAAATATATTAGAAGACGAATAGTAAAAAAATGGATAATTTACCAATAACAAGGCACAATGTTACAGTGGAGTCATTTTGGTGTGTTACAGTCACTCTTTAATTAGTTTTGTAATGTAGTAAGTGATGGTAATCCATTTTCATAATTACCTATTTAAAAAATTACTTGAAATGAAAATCCTTTTTCCTTACTCTCTCACAGCATTGTCATACAAAGAATCTGAGTCTATTATAACTTGCATAATGATGTGCAATTATATATATGCCTGTCACATTCCCTTTGTGTTCCTGCTACTTTCAGCTAACATCTTCACATCTTGCATCATGAATTTTTTTCTTGCTGTCCTTGCTTGTACTGTAGTTGTTTGTTCTCTAATGTAAGGATTATTATGTAAGCTGTTTTATGTTGCAGTACTTTAACATATGTTTTCATTGAAGTTGAATTTGAGTTTAAATCTTCAGTTTAAAAGTCTGAATTAGGTCTTAGATTTATAGTTAATTTTGTTTCAGGTTCAGAGATGGCTTACATGAAGTTCACAATATATTGTTCTTTCCATAATTTAAACTGTGCATGTTGAGGGAATAGTTTCTAAGGAACAACTTGGAGTTGTCTCCTTCAGCCTCTGCCTGACCCATTGAATTATTAATAAACCAAAGTAAACATTTTGTATTCTGTGGAAGAACAGCAAATGACTGCTGAAGTGTATTCTGCTTCTTTTGGGAAGGGGATGCTTCAGTTCACACAAGGTTTTCATGAGTTCTTGTGAGAAATCAGCAACCAAAGCCAAATATCCACAGTATATATTATTTGTAGTCACTTTCAAAGTTTTAAAAAGTTAACTGTATACAAAACCGTAAATTATCTTGTACCTTGATAGCAATTTTTGCATTTCTGTTTTCTCCAAATATCTGAATTAAAAGGTAACTTAAAATAAATAGGAGAAAAGTCTTACAAGAGTTAACTAGTGTCTGAAAGTTCACATCCCTACTCTGACCTGTCACCAGAATCATATGCAAGTGGATAAAACACCTGCAAAAACCAAGGGCCATTCTTCCCCAAGGCAATGAAACTCTCACTGCCCAGAGATCTTTTTGTTATTTTCACATTTTTTCTTCTCTAAATTGTTTTGGACATCATAGTATGAGGGCATAGAATTGTCTTATATTTATGTAAGTAAAGAACAACTAATAATCAGCTGCTACTAGTGATCTGCAGTTTCTTCCTGCGAAGAACTACACTGAGCTGAGCTAGATGATACAAATTGAGCACAAACTGAGCACTGCATTTTGTAGAAATACCCTTCAGTCTTGGAAGTAGTTTGCTTTTTCAGTACAACCTTGAACCAAGGCTGGTATGTCCTGTTTCTCATAAATCTTAAGTTCCCAGTGAGGCTAATTAGCCAGTCCAAGTTCTGGGCTGAAAAGCAGAGGGAGCTGTGTCAGCTCAGCATGGGGCTGCAGTGCACACTGTGGGTTGGCCTCTGGTGTTGGGGTGGGGAGTTAGAGAACTGTAGATGACAATATGTATTTTAAATCTGATACACGTTTTCCGTGCCAAATTTAATTTCCAGTAAAGGCTCTAATTCTGTTCCAGATCTTTAACGTTTACAGATAAAAATGTGATTTGCGTCTTGTAAGATGTTTGCAAGATAATTCCACAAAAATGTACATTTTTTGCTTTGTAAAACTTGAAAAGTTTTGCATGTGTGACTTAATTAACTGTAAGTAACTATGAAATATATTACTTTACATTTTCTGTTCTACTAATGAGATAATACCAAAGGCAATGTCCTCTTTTTTTTTCAGCACTGATTTACAATCAAATTTCGCACATTCATAACAGTCTCATGGTGTAGCTGATCAAAGGGAAAAATAAAAAAAATCATATATTTGTTAATATAAACACTAAGTATAAAGTTTTCAATTTTCCTTCATTGCATTTTGTACTTAGAAGATGTTAATGCACCTTTCTGCTTTCTCTGTTCTAAGGAAGACCATTAAGAATCCAAACAGCCCCTCCAAAGAATATATATGTAAAGGCATCTGATTTATCTTCATAATCAAAATGCCAAAAATAATCATAGGTTCTTTTTTAGCACTTATAATCTATAGCCCACATTTGCAATTTACATTCTGATTTTGCTGCCACATTATAGGTCATGGAAGTCTTTGTTCTCATTTCATAATTTTGGCAGCTACAGCAATATTTGAAGAGTATAGCTGTATAATCTGGAGGGCAAAATGCCTATAAAATAAGAATAATTTCTTTAAAGAACTTGCATCTGATTTGGAAATGTTTTGATTTTTTTTTTACATATTTTGTGATGAAAAAGACAAGTCTGTCATTTTGTACCTGCAGTCAGCCTTCAAGCACAGCAGTACTTTTGATTCTAAAAATCACACTTATAAATGTCTCATAATGTGTATTCAAGTGTGATGTTATGGAAATAAATAGAAGCATATATTTAAAGACAGTGGAATGATAAAATCTTTCAGAATTCCAAGGTTTCTCATAGAAACCTTTGACACGTATTGGTCCACTATCAGAAAAAAAAAAAAAAAGTCCAGATAATTCCATTAGCTGCTAAATGGTATGAAATACTAGCTTTTTAGCTGAGATTTAGGACAACAGAAAACCACAAGAAACAGTGTAGTAAAGACATACTTTATATAACCTTTTTTTTTCCCTTGATAAGATAAAAGGATTATATTAATCTTAAAAGTTGTTGCATATGAAAAACAATTAAGGATGTTTGAAAATAATAAATTTTTCCTTTAAGAAAATGTTATTAGTAAGGCACTGAGGCAATTTTGAGCCTTTCATTTTTTCCCTAATGGAAGCAAAGCCTGTTTTCATAAGTCTTAGACAGCTTCATCACTGATAAAAATCCTTTTATTTGAAATAAAAAAAAAAATTGACATATTTACACACTAATTACTTATTTCTGATAATAATTTTGAGGTACATGAACATTAGAATAAAGTCTCAGAAAGAGTGGTCCTAGAAAAGCATTTAAGGAATGTCTTCTATGGTAACTACCCTTTCTGATTTTTCTTTTACAGTGCAAGACGTATGCCTGTGTTTTAGAGAGTCATCTTATGGGACTTACCATTGACTTCAGCATGGGCTTTGTCTGTTTTGATGCTGCCACAAAGGTAAAGTTCTAATAAATTTTTCCATCACACTGTTATTATTCCTCATTATTTCTAATATTTTCAGATAAGTAGTACATCCTTCAAGTGTTCTTCTCTTTGTTATAGTAACAGATTATCTCTTGTCAAATCTCTCATGCTTTAGTTGAAATTCAGGACTGATTTCTAATTATGTGAGAAATAGTATTCTGTTATTTGCTCGTTATTGAAAAATCTATACTGATACCAATCTGAAACAAGCATCAGATCTTTATTCTTTAATTTCACATGAAAGCCCACACTGATTCAGTTTGATGGTTTGTTTTGCTAGTGTGTCCTTGGTTTTGAGAAAAGATAATTTTCTTTGTTTCAGTTTCATCTGTGAGCTCAAAAATAATCTTCTATTCTCTTCTCTTGTTTAATGGGCAGGAGTGTGTGCTATTACAGCAATTCCACAATTCCCAGTTTATATTTTAGCTATTATTGTTCAGATGTCTGTAAAAAGAAAAGCCAACCATAGTCTATATGTCTCACCCATCAGCTTTTCCTGTCAGCCTTAAAAAAACTCAGTAGAACTGATGAAAGAGTTTGCTTTATCAAGCAAATAAGATGGAATCAACTTCCATATTGTATTATTGCACATCCAAGGCTCAGTAAAACCATTGAGACCCTGAGTATGTCATATGTTGGCATTTGCACTAATTGCTGGCAAGTCCTACAATGTGCTCAGGCTTTATTGCTGCTGCTCAATGCTGCTGTTAGTGGTAGAATCTTTCTTCTGAGCAAAATGGTGAAACCTTTCTTTCGAGTTCCACTTCTCTTCAATACCTGTTTTCCTTTGAGATGCTGCAACTTTGCCACCACCAACTGCTGAAAATGCCCTTTTGACTCCAGAATTTGTTCCTATGCTCTGTCGTAAGTCAAGTCTTCCCACCTCATTACTCCACTAACCCAAACCCTTTTATTATCCCCACTCCATTCTGTTTGTTTGCACAAAGTGATGAATTTTAAATTCAAACACTTATGTAACCTTGTTTCTTTTTGTTAAGCAAATAGTCTTGTATAATTAATCAGTGAAATGTGACTATCAGTTTAGAAGGTATTACACTAAAATACCAGTACAACAGAATTAAAATACAGTAGCTCAGTAAAAAAAAAGTGTGACTTTCCCCCCACCTTCCAATATTTATATATATATATAAAAGTATAGTAAAGAATTTCTTTTGTATATCTAACCTTTCAGTTTGAACCCATTCCTTCTTGTATTATGTGTATGGTATTGCATGCTAGAACAAAGCATTACACCATGAATTAAAAAAAAGGACATTGTTTTCTTAGGTTATCAGGCATTAGGCAGCGTGAGATAAGGATGACAGTTGCATTAGAAAAGAAAAGAAACAATACAATAGAAAGCAACATAATCCAAGTGACTGCTGCAATTCAAATTATCAAACAAGCCATAAGGTGAAATGTCTGAAATCTAAGTGTGCCAACCACGTTTTAATGGGTATCTTCAGTAAATCTTCAGGCAGTGTCAGTCTTATACTTAATACTGTGCTCATGGTATTTTAAGGTTTTTTTCTTACTTACTAATGAATTGGCTGTGGATTGTCTATATAAGTGCATAATTACGAATAAACTGAAATGAAGGAAGCCAAATTCTTTAACTCATTATTTTAACAGTTATTCAGTTATTCAAATGTTCCAGTTATTTAAGCCGTGCAATAATATTTAAATTATTTCTTCCTCTCACATTTCCAGTAAGTGAATAGATTTTGTCCAACATGCCCTGACAAATTGCAGTCAAAATGTCACAAATTTTCTAAACCCCAAACTCACCGCAGTCTTCATGAACAAGTGTATAGGGGATAATGGCTCTCATTATGTTTATGATTTCCAGACAAAAGCCTTACAACCCTGTGTAGGCTGTAAGGCTTGTTTGCTATCATTTAATCCTTAAATAATACTTAAATATGTAAATTGAAATTAGTGGTTAAAAACTGTCATCTGTGCTAAATGTATTTCAAGCCAAACATCATAATTAGATAAAAACATTGTTTCTGTGTCTGCACAGACCTATGATAAATATGAGTACACAAAGTATTAAACTGAGTTATTCAGAAGGAATCTGTGCTGTGATGTGATTATAACAGCACTGGCATAAATCATAGCTGTTTCTGCTGCATATTTCACTGCTTTCTCATATTCATTTTCTGACTGATAACTCATACAGTCAACAGTAGTTTGTCATTTGGAGTATTTTCATATGATGTTTTATAAAAAGCAGTTACAATTTCCTGAAAGGAGAGTGAACAGCTTTTAAGACTACCTGGTTAAATCTGATTATCTCGACATTTCAGAAAATTACTTCTCAATTCAGGTAAAAATTCTGCCAAATAGAATTTTGGCCACAAAGTAATTTTTCTCCTTGCACCTTGAAAAGTAATGATAAATATATTTATGCCCCTGTTCTTCTGTGGTACTTTTCAGAGCCAAAGCTCCAGTGCAAGATATCATCTTTTATTAGCACTGTATGGTTTGAAAGCAAACTGTGACACATAGCCCAAGCCAACATTGGCACGTGTTTGATTATGATTCTTTTCATTATGTAGTCCTTCATTTGTGGTAGTTATAAACCTGGAGTCAAAAAAGCCACCTGCTTCCTGTGTTGGCATACACAGAAATGTAATTCTAATCAATAGGGAGTTTCCTCATGGGATCTCCTCCACTGGGGACTTCTTCCAAAAAATGCCCACCAGCTTTAACCAATTTTGTATGCTTTATTTGAAATACAGGATGTCAGATAGAATCCCCTCACTGAACTTTCCTCTTTCTTCATTGCTGGTATTCTGTGAAAAGTAAATTTAGCTAATCTTTGTGAATACCCTTTAGATATTTTATTTTCTTTCCTGCCTTAATCATATTTTCCTGATTCTGCTTAGTTACTCCTTGCACTACAAGGTGCCTTAGTATACAGCATCTACTCCAGAAGTAATTTTTCACTAGAGACGTTTCATATGCTAAATATTTTGTTTATTTGGTTTTAAAATATGAAAAATCTGAAAAGATGCAAAAGGTTCTGTGGCAGTTCTTAGAAATGATATACCAAATTTTATCCTAGGCCATTTTTTGCAGTATCAGTGTTTACTGGAGAAAATATTTTTCTCAAGTCCTGCCCAGCTACATCTCAGCATTCATGTCCTAAATTTGTCTAACATTAGCTAAAATATAGACATCAATGTTTTAATGAACAAATGTAAGTCTCTCATGGGCAATTTGTATTAGGTATGGACGTACATAGACACTGTGATGAACATTTATAAATAAGATTTGCAGCCACAATAGGCACCTTAAGAATTAAGTATGGAGACTGATAGATTAAAGAGAATAACAAGACATGTACAGAATGGAACCTAACTACTATTCTGAAAGTGATCCAATGTATAAAACTACTTACTCCAGTGCCATTTAGTAACTGATTCTTAATGTGCTTCTATAAAAAATGTATGGGGGGATATACATGGAAATATGTATATTATATATATTTCTGGCTTACTGACATATTCATTAAAATAGTTTTCTATAATGTGCATATTTTCATCATCAATTCCATGTAATAATGTATGTCTGTTTTGAACATACATTGCCATATACCTACCTGAGCAAAGCGCTGTGTCTGTAGTCCATCATATTTACTGCTCATTAAAACAACAATCAAAATATATATTTCTCAGAAGGAAAAAAAAAAAAGTGTCCCTTGTAGAATTGAAAATAAATGAAGGTGCTGCTGAATTATATGGTGGTGCTAGAACAAAGTAAGAAAAGGCTCCATAATGGCCCACAAGGTACCTATCAACAAATCTCAGTGTACCTTCGTGTGTTCTCTTGCTGAAACCTTCACCAAAAAAAAAGAGAATATACGAGGAACAATTAGTAGCTTTGCAAATACCTTTTATTTGGTTTCCATACCAAAAGACTACTAAATCACACAGATCAGTATTTCTCTTAATTTCTTTAGGAGCAATCTCCCATGTTTTCTAGGGATACATACCTTTTCTGTCTCTTCATGCAACTAATACATATACAGCATATTGAAATAAAACAGCTTATAAAAACCTTCTTAATATTCAAATTACAGTAGTGGGGAAGGCAGAAAAAAAACCAGACTCACTGGAAGATGGAGACTTAATGATGTAACTCTTGTGAAAAAATATTTATTCCATGCTTCAAGGTTTAAATGTTGAACAAATAGCTACTATAACTTTAATATAAGCCATCAGCATGCTTCATACAGTTTTATGTTCTGTGGCTAGAAACAAATGTTGGTATGTTGTCCATTGGCACCAAGCAAATACACTGTAGTCTTTTAGCATTTTATGTAATTTCAGTAATGGACAAGAACAGTTATTTTATAAGGGCCGACTTTCATGCTTTTTTCCTTTGTCTCATTTTTGTTCTTTATCCTCTGTGTCCTCCCCTGTCTTTCCCTTTACAGTTATAAAGCTGCAGCAGCTGACAAAGGAAATTGCCTTGGACCATAATTCTTTTGCAGTAAGACACTCTCCAGAGATCAGTAACACAGTAGAACTGAGCATGAACAAGATCTTAATCCTACTCAGTTCCCTACTGCTGCTATAACTCTGGATAAAGTGTCACTTGGCAAGAATGAAATCTTTCTCAATTAGCTGTGAGCCAAACAGACAAATTAAGGTGTATCCCAGGTGCCTGAAGACTCAATTACTTTTATTCTTAGAAACAACGACCTGGAGGCCTTAAGCTCTTGATTTAGTTTGACTTGTAGGAGTATCATGTGGTTTAGTTACGACAAACAGCATTAGCTTGAAAGGTGCCCACTGAAGTTTAGCATAATTCTGTAACATATACCACACATTAAAAAATTGCCTTAAAAATCAAAAGGAAGACTAATTCAAACAGTCAGAGTATGAAGAAAAAACGAGGCAGTGTTGAAAACAGCTATAGATTTTTGAAGGTGTGATGGAGAAGACAACAAAGGAATTTGATGA